CCCCCCTAAAAACCCCTAAAACCCCAAAACCCCAAAACCCCAAAACCCCAAAACCCCGTTTAGCTTTATGGTGTTGAAAATTATTATACTTTTATTTAGAAATATCTAGAATTTAAAGATGCTAAACAGACTAGGCACGAAAAAAATTATGAACCAAGCAAGAAGCTTCAGGTAAGCCAGACTCTTCCTAAGGAGGGCTGTCTAACTATTTTTGATATAGTTCAATCATTGGAATCGATTTGGGAACAACCAACTCTTGTGTAGCTGTCATGGAAGGATCCAACCCAAGAGTCATTGAAAATGCTGAGGGTATGAGAACCACTCCTTCATATGTTGCTTTCACTGATGATGGACAAAGACTTGTAGGACTTCCAGCTAAGAGACAGGTAAGATATCTCCTTTTTGTGGAGTTCTAATGTTTTGAATTAGGCTGTTACCAACCCAGAGAATACCTTGTTTGCAACTAAGAGACTCATTGGTAGAAGATTTAATGACGATGCTACTCAAAAGGATCTCAAGCACTTGCCATACAAAGTGGTTAGAGCTAACAACGGAGACGCATGGGTTGAAGCTAAAGGGGAGAAATATTCTCCATCCCAAGTTGGAGCTTTTATTCTCGGCAAAATGAGAGAGACTGCTGAAGCTTATCTCGGAGAGCAAACTAAACAAGCAGTAGTCACAGTACCAGCCTATTTCAATGATTCACAGAGACAGGCTACTAAGGATGCTGGAAAAATCGCAAATTTGGACGTAAAGAGAATCATCAATGAGCCAACAGCAGCTGCTCTTGCTTTCGGACTGGACAAGACAGATGGTAAAGTTATTGCCGTGTATGATCTCGGAGGTGGTACTTTTGATATTTCTCTTCTCGAAATTTCAGGAGGAGTGTTTGAGGTTAAGGCAACCAACGGAGATACCTCTCTCGGAGGAGAAGATTTCGATCTCATGCTTCAAGAGTTCTTAGTTGCTGAGTTCAAAAGCCAGACTGGTGTGAACATAGCAGGCGACAAGCTGGCCATCCAGAGGATCAAGGAAGCAGCAGAGAAGGCTAAAATCGAGTTGTCATCTACATCTCAGACTGAGGTTAACTTGCCATACTTGTCAGCTGATGCTTCTGGACCAAAGCATTTGCAAGTATCCATTACTAGAGCTAAATTGGAGTCATTGGCTGAATCATTGATCTCAAGAACTCTCAAGCCATTAGAGAATGCCATTAAAGATTCTGGTCTTTCTAAGGGAGAAGTTGATGAAATCTTGTTGGTTGGAGGTATGACTCGTATGCCAAAGGTTGTCGAAACTGTCAAGAAGTTCTTCGATGGTAAGAGCCCATCTAAGGGTGTAAATCCAGATGAAGCTGTTGCCATTGGAGCTGCCATTCAAGGTGCAGTCCTTACTGGAGATGTCAAAGATGTTTTATTGTTGGATGTTACTCCACTCTCTTTGGGTATTGAGACTCTTGGAGGAGTTTTCACTAAATTGATTCCAAGAAACACCACTATCCCAACAAAGAAGTCCCAGGTATTCTCCACTGCAGCTGATAACCAGACTAAGGTAGGAATTAAAGTATTCCAGGGAGAGAGAGAAATGGCTGTAGACAATAAATTATTGGGTGAATTCGAGCTTGGAGGAATTCCAATGGCTCCAAGAGGACATCCTCAGATTGAAGTATCCTTTGATATTGATGCCTCTGGTATCGTCAACGTTTCTGCCAAGGATAAATCTACTGGAAAGGAATCTAATGTCACTATTAGAAGCTCAGGTGGACTTTCCGATTCTGATATTGATAGAATGGTTCAAGAAGCTGAAGAAGCAAGAGAGAAAGATGCTGCTAAGAAAGAGATGATTGAAACTAAGAATGAAGCTGACTCCATGATCTATCAGACCGAGAAGCAGCTTTCTGAGCATGCTGATAAGATCCCAGATAATGTTAAAGAGCAAGTCAATAATGACATCTCTGCATTGAACGAAGCCATCACTACTGAAAATGTAGATAGCATTAAGGAAGCTCTCGAAAGACTAAAGAACTCTTCTATGGAGATTGGTAAATCAATTTACTCTCAGTCCTCTTCTGAAGGAGACCAACAAGCTGAACCAGAAGTTGAACCAGAAGCTGAACAAAAGGAACAAAAGGAAGAAAAGAAAGATTAATTTGTATTATTCTGGATATCTATAATTTCAATGAATCCCTCTCCTACGGGGTTTTGGGGTTTTGGGGTTTTGGGGTTTTGGGGTTTTGGGGTTTTGGGG